GCTAGTTATCATATATCAATTGATTGATTGATTGATTAATCAATTAATTAATTTATTTATTTATTCGTTTATTTACTTATTTATTTATTTGTTTGTTTTCTTTTGCTTGTATAACAGGCCAATAACATCTGACCATATTGCCCAAACGCAAGAAGTAGTTTTAAATGATAGGAGCGTCGCTGATGTAGCTACAAACCAATGCTGCCCTCAAAAACCATTTGAGAAAAGTGATAGATTTGGTGACACAGCTGCCAATGTACATCCTGGAGATATGGGAATAGACGTAGAGATCAAAAAAAGTAGACCACTTACAGATGAGGAAAATTTGTTTTATCTAACCAAGCACTTTACGCCAACTAGTACCTCGATGTTTGAGAAAAAAGATCTATTCTGGCAAAGCAAGGTCTTTCCAACTGCAATGGCTTGAAAAATTCAATGGTCTTGTATATTCACACAAGGACAAAGGAGCCTACTGCAAATTTTGTGTTTTGTTTTCTCACAACTTGCCTGACGCTAGAATAACTACCTTTGGAGCATTAGTTGTCAATCCTTTAAATAATTGGAAAAAAGCTACTGAAAAACTACAAGAGCACTTTGGAGGGSAATGCAAGTACCATAACAAGGCTCTAGAACTTGCTGAAAATTTCAAGAAAACTATGACAGGCCAGCAAGTACCAATTCACCATATTATTGAAACCTCAAGAATAAGCCAAATCAAGGAAAACYGCAAAAAGTTGATGTCCATTATTGACACCATCGTAACCTGTGGCAGACAAGGTATTGCTTTACGAGGCCACCGTGATGACCATACGCATGACCTAAAAAATTCAAACAGAAACCTCGGTAACTTTCATGAGATCCTTAAAGTGCCCATACACCCTGGTTATTTATTGTCTAGTTTGAAAGACTTTCACCTAAATAACAATTATTCAAAGTAAAAATTACAAAAAAAATATATTTATCCGATAAATCTTGATTCCAAATGTGCATATTTATCAAAGTTCGGGATTCCTGTGAAAAAAATCCGAGTCTCACTCCAGTCTTCTTATGACGTAGTATACGGGACGGCGAGGTGTTTTGTGACAGAGGAAAGTATAGACAAGTTTTGTTGTACGTTTCGAAAAATGCGGAAAAATGCCTGATCGATGTATTGTAATTGGCTGTTCTAATGAGAACAGTTCATCGAGTACAATAGCATTACATAGAGTTCCTTTTTTTGGCGACTCTCGTCCTGAAGCAGTCTCAAGACGAAAGAAATGGGTCGACTTTCTGAAGAGAAAGCGACAACTACCTGTTGACT